GAGTTCGAGCCTCACCTGGAGCAGAGAGCTTTAGCTTTCTGGACATATCTGTGATCAGGCAACAAACAGGCATAAACAACAACTTTGTATTGTCAGGTAGCTAAAATGCCACCATATTGAACAAAAAACTAATTCACGTCATTGACAGCTATTCACAGCTATTCATAGCCATTCATTCAAGTGTGTCCTGGTGTTTAGCTAGAGCGCCTGAATCAGTGGCTGGCTCTTTTTTCTGATTAACTATGTAATGACAGAGAGGGCACAGATACATTCTCTCTGTGGGATACTCTCAGCACACCCAAGAATGAAAAACCTCCCTTTCTTTATGTACCTGATGTACGGCAGGAAAGCGAAGGACAGAAAGAATCCCGACACGAAACCGCAGATGTGGGCAAAGTTGTCGATCCAAGGAAGCAAACCGAAAGAGAAGAAGAAGACTGAGATGGCCAGCAGCTTAGCAAAAGCCCGCCACGGTCGCTCGAGGATCTGCCAGCTCTGAAACAGCTCCACAAACAGACAGGCCAGGATCCCAAACTGGCTGCCGGCAGGACCCACCTGAGAGAGAGGAAAAGAGGAAACAGGTCATAGACCAAGAGGTTAAAGTTGCGTACTTTATAACACATCTAGGGTTCAGGAAAGTCTCAGATTCAGTATCTTGTGGTTGAGAGGGTGACATTGTACCTCCGCTCTGTAGGGCAGGAAAATGGCTGAGGCCAGGTTGCCTGTGATACCGCTCAGCATGTAAATGATGGAGATTCTCAGCCAGCCAGCCAACTTCTCTATGTCCCTCAGGACTGTCATCTGGAAAAGCACCGACACCAGGCAGTGCAGGATCCTACAGGCACAGACAAGACCCAGTGTTGACCCAAATCCATCTGATATCTTACAATTTCCTGTTATAACTCGTGTCATTTAGGCTATTTATTGTTTCATAGTTATTCCACTTATTTTCTGAGCTTTATATTTGGCTTTATTGATACTGTGTGATTTTAAATTGTTTTTGTCTGACCACTTTGTGGAAACTAATAGGGATCTAAGTTAAGAATAATAAAAAAAGCAGTTCTATTTTCAAAAAAACATCATAAAACATCTGTCTTTTCCTGCTTTGGCTACTGAAGCCTGTTGTGAGATGAAGAGAGTTCATTCACCCAGCATGAAGAAAGAGGGACAGCCAGAGTCGGGAGAACTGGTCTGGGATTTCCTGGTTGAGGAAAGGCAGCAAACCACACACATCGTCCATGCAGGCCACCTGGAAGAGAGAGTGAGGGAAAAAATCAGTCAGGACTGAAAGTGCCATCAGTCAGCATGGAGATCCACTGCCACCATGTGGGGGAAAATGAGAGTATTTGAATCCAGTCCAAAGTCCTTTTAATTCACAGCTGAATGCAGGCTCCAGTGGCGCAATCGGTCAGCGCGCGGTACTTATAAGACAGTAACCTGCAGAGCAATGCCGAGGTTGTGAGTTCGAGCCTCACCTGGAGCAGCGAAGTTTTAATACAACACAAATGAAATAGACAGAGATTATGCTGATTTATGGGAAAGGAAAGGTCATAAAATATAGCAATGAGTGTTTGTCCCACCTGTGAGCAGAGAGTGGCCTCCTCATGGAAGTAGCCGTGCATGAAGTCACAGTACTCCCTTGACGTGATTTCACATCTACAACATGAAACGTTTCATCACCAACAGCTCACAGTAAACATACATATACTCCAGGATTATTAAAATGACAAGAATATAGCTTACTGTTAAGTAAAAGCTCTCAACATGTGTAGTGTCACTGACATGTTATTGTATACGTTCTGTTTCACAACAGTTAAAGCATGAAAATAGTCAAATTTAAAGATAATGCTGGTACATATCCAGCAGATTTAATAGTACATTATTGGTAATACTAGTCTAGCTAAGCCCTACTCATTTCACCTATGACCATTCTCCCGACTCCTGTGGCGTTTAGTGACACTGATCCTTACCGTCCTTTGGTTCCGATGCAGCAGGGCCGGCCTGTGATGGTGCAGTCTATGTGGGGGAGGTTGGTGTGATTCCCAGAGTTGTACCTTGTACAAACCTGCAAATCAGATTAGATTGTTTTAATTGTAGACATCAAGCCATTAAATGTCAAAGAAAATGCTGCATACAGACCTCCGTCTGGTAAGTCTGTTAAACTGAGGGTAGACTTTAAGATAAACTTAAGACTGACCCTCACAGTAATTACTTTGTAGGTAGCTTTTAGAAACACTCTCACTCACTACAGCATCGACATATGTTTATGGGCCCCAGTGGTGCAATTGGTTAATGTGTGGTACTTATGTTAACTGGACTTACTGGCCACTTGGTGATGTCGTCAGACCACTCATGAGGCGAAACTGAGGCTGGCTCCAGACAAATTCTACAAAAAAACAAAACATAAATTGATTGCACAAATAAAAACAGTGAACATTCCTGTCTTTGTTTAAAGGACCAGTGTGTAGGATTTAGTGGCCTTCAGTGGGGTAGTTTCAGATTCTGCCTTGCTTCACTCTCCCCTTCCTGAAGGAGAAACTACAGTGGTCGCAAAATACACTCTATTTAGAGCCAGTGTTTGGTTTGTCTAGTCTGGGCTACTGTAGAAACATGGTGGTTCAACATAGTGGCCTCCATGGAAGGCGACCAGCTCCGTCTGTAGATATAAATAGCTCATTCTACCGTAAACAAAAACACAAAGATTCTTATTCTTAGGTGATTTAACATTAATGAAAATAAATCTATAAATGTTATATTCAATTTTTGACAATAGATCCTCCTGAGTCTTACAACTAAGCTGCAACAACAGTCCACACATGGAGTAAAATGATGTCTGCTATGTATTAACATGCTGTTGCTCTTGCCTGAGTTATGATCCCTATAAATGGTAAGTGTACTCCATTATAACAAGGAGAATAATCAGTAGACAGTATTTTTATGTTACCTGGGGTCCTGATGGCAGACAGAACCATGTTGGCGTAGCGTACCATTCAGATAGGGAGCACTGGGGTGCTGAGGCCACTTCACCCACACTGCCAGGGTACTCTACAGTAGAAGACAGACGGACAGAGGGAAAGAAATCATTTTTATTATTCAGTTATTCTCTATTTATGTTGCTTGTGCAGTGGTGACTACAACTAAATAGCACAACAAAAGCTGCATTTGCCTCAACATTTATAAGAAAATGTTTTGAGTGAGAACAGACATTTTGTCACAGCGAGTCTATATAATCTTCAATTGTTTCCACTGACCGAACACTCCTCTTGTACAGTCTGCAGGCAGCCGGAGCGATCGTTCCTCACACAGCAGCCGGACTCTCTCTCTCGCGCTCTCTTCTCTTGGATCAGTTTGTGGATCTCTTGGTCTTGGCGCATGCACGGGGAAAACTTGGCTCCAAGGTGTATTAGCGCCTCCTGTAGGACAGCAGGAGATATCATTACAACTTGGTGAGGTTGTGAAACTAGACTAGTGGTTTCCAGCCTTTTTCCTTAAGGGACCCCTTTTCTGTCATTTAGTAAACTGACGACTGTCGAATAGTAAACTTCAAGACATTTGTGTAAAATGCAGATTATTCCTGTTTAGGGAACTTTTTATAAAATTCTCTGTCTGTATTTTGTATTTTTATTATTTTTAACAAT